AGTTGTCTTAACAGAACTTTAGATAAACCCTCAATATCCATCATGAGAAGAATTGATAGATTGTGGCATATTCTCACAATAGAAACCTATAGAGCAGTGGAAAAGTAATAAAATGGAGCTACATGTATCAACATGAGTAAATCCCACAAACTGTGTTAAGCATAAAAATTGACATAAAGTTCCAGAATACTGCATATAGTATAACAGCAATTATATAACATTTAAAACATGCAATAATATTACATATTGCTTGAAGGTTTATACATATGTCGTAAAAATATAAAATCATGCTTGAGAATGATAAACACCAAACTCAGGGCAGTATTTTTAAAAGGAACAGAAGGAGCCAGCCCGGTGGCATAGTGGCTAAGTTGGTGCACTGCCCATCGGTGGCTCGGGGTTTGCCTGTTGGGATCCCAAGTGCAGACCAACACACGGCTTATCAAAGCCAGGCTGTGGTGGCATCCCATATAAAGTAGAGGAAAATGGGCACAGATGTTATCGCAGGGCCAGTCTTCCTCAGCAAAAAGAGGAGGATTGGCAATAGATGTTAGCTCAGGGCTAATCCTCCTCGCCAAAAAAATCAAGGAACAGAAAAACATAATAGCAAAATGTTAATATTTTACAAAAATAGGATGGTAGGTCCTTGGATACTTTTTATGTTACTCTTTATATATTTCAGAATAGAAAAATGCTTCTTCAACTTAGTGATTTCAAGATACATATGTGTTAAAAGGAAATCATACTTCAAAAGCTCTGGATAAAGGAACAAACTGCTCTGAAAATTGAGGGTTGTTCATGATCAGGAGCAGGATGGAGACGTATTTTCTTGACATGCTTGATTCTCTTTGGGTGGAGGCAGGGCCAGTCTGAAGCTCAGTGCATCAGGGTCCAGACACCCTGAGCCCCCATGACCAAAGCCCATCCTTGACTCAGCTGCAAATATCAGAGAAGGAACATCAGGAGGGTGTGTGGAGGGAGCATGTCTGTGGTGGAGGTGGGGATCACAGAGTGAAGGGCAGTGGTCTTGGGTAACCTCCAGGTCCTTGCGGCAGCTTCTCCCCCCTGGAGCCCCTTAGGGAGGGCAGGAGGCAATGCATCACAGGGCATGCAGGAGCTGTAGGGAGAAACAGGCATTCATTCATGTATTAATTCCACAAATATTTATCGAGCACCTACTATGTTGCAGACACTCTGATTGGCCTGCATTCATGGCGCAGATAAGAAATGAAGATCCTACTCATTACACCCCAACACCTCTATCTGACTTCTGAACTCTCTCCCACACCCACATTCATCTTTGCCACTAGTAGCACCCCCAAGTCCCTCAGATAGACTTTAGTGGTTGATTTTAATAATACTTTCCTTATTAATTCCGAAGATATATCGTATGAAAACATCTCATGGGGGGACTCTGGAGTTTGGGTCTCAAAACTTTGACCTTCATCCCACCTCCATAACTTGGACCCCCAGCTCCACAGTCCCAATGAACTTCATCTAAAAACCTTCAAACTCCAGGGAACTGCACAATGCGTGAGAGTTGGAAACCTCTGAGAATTCCAAGAGACAGCTGGAGAAAATAAGAGTGTTCACCACCTTTTCTTGAGGCTGGATCATCACTTTGTGGGCGTGCCCTGGACTCCTCTTGCCAGCCCATGACTGTGGCCCTGACCTCCCTCCCTAAGGACTATGGCCTGCCGCCAACTCTCCTGTTGCAGGTTCTGCCCTGTGAATGTAGGTGACTATGAAACTCGTCACAAGTGGCACCTTGAGGCCCAGGAGGATAACCACAAAGATAAGGGCAGGTGTCTCTGGACCTAAATACTAATGGGCAGAAGGAGACACCAAATGGGGCCCCGTGAGTTTAAATACCTCAGTCTACTCAGGAGACAGAGATGAACCAGCTGCTCACAGGAGTACAGCTGAGCTTACTTGGGCTGGAAATGGGCTTGTGTCTGGTATAGGCTGCTCCAGACAGTGTGACGTTGGCCCTGATTGGAGGTTGTGCTTCATGCTACACCTTAGAAGTGAGCACTTGCTCAGACACCAGCACCAACTCATTCATCAACTGCAATCTTTCCAGAGTGTTGGTCCCATGGCCTTTCTGCTTAGACGCGTTTCTCAGCTCCCTTGAACATTCGGCAGTTCTCCAGCCGGGTGAGATGCACACTCTGTGGATGGAATTTCTGCATGTGGTGGGTAAAGGCCCCCAAGTCCAAGGAGGGTGAAGCCTGGGACACTGTCACTGCACAAATAATGTAATTTGCTTCCCATCAGAAAGGCCAGTTTGTACGTTTTCACCCAGATCTACATATCCCGCTGGGTGAACAATTTTCTTATTTCTGCTGGACAGCAAAAAAAGGGCACGGAGAAATTGAGTGGTGAATGGGATCATCCCCTGAGAATTCTTACAGTAGACAGATGAAGGCCAGCTCTCTCAGGGAGAGATGGAAAGTAGGTCACAGCCCCTGTTGTGAAGATGTGTTGTTTCACCAGCCCGGTGTCCTGCCCACCATTTCACTGGTAGTGACATGGACTATAAAACACGCAGGCACAGAGGCTCACATTCCTGTGGGGAGCTGTCCTTGCCCACCTCACATGGTTCTGGAGAGCTGTCAGTCCACACTCTGCTTACCCCTGGCTCCCCCAGGCCTGGCCAATCCTAATCCTCCCTTCTCCGCTCCCTGTCTGGAATCTCCTCTGAGCCAGTCATTCATGTTCCCAAGCTGATCCAGCTGGACCAAGAAAAGCAGTGCTCTCCTCTGGGTCTGAACTGCTAGCGGGCCGCTCCCCCTAGTGGAGAAAGTCATCTGAGGACACAAAGGGTGAGACGGAGGGCGGAGGAGAAAGAGGATTAGGATAGGGAGAAGGGAAGGAGGAGACAGTGGAGGAGGAGGAGAGAAAAAAGAGGCAGAGAACGAGGAGAG